GTTATTTCAACATATATTTTTTAAATAATTGTGTTCAACAGTGGAATTCCTGATGGAAAACTACATTACCTATGATTTTAGAGAGATAATTGCGACAAGCAATTTAGGCTCTTTATCGTCGACTACTCCCATGAACCACTACAAACGATGTGATAGTCCATTTCCCTAAAATCTCAAACTACTTCAATGTAGTTTGAGTATGCTTCAATGTATGCATGATATACATATTTTGCAATAAATGTAAAACATATTGCTTCGTTATTTAATCAACATCCGTAAATCAGTACTGTAGTTTTGTATTTTTCATATTATTTGTAACATATCATGGGATTGTAGTTTTTTCTCTCATTAAAACTGTTACGTCTTGTACCTTTTTTTTGTCAAATTTCAACTACATCAAATCAAAGTTGTGGTAATGTTGTGATTTACCTCAAAGCTGGTTAATTCATGGCTCTTTAACAAAGACTTCTTGAAAAATCCCTTTGGGAAAAATTTATGGGAAACATACTTCTGGAACCAATGCCGCTGAAAAAGTGGCCAGGCACTGGTGTACTCGATTTGAGCTATGATTACCCACAAACCCTTGTGCACCGCACAAGGTGGACAGACTTTTCCACTTAAATACAAATGGTGATGAATTTGAGGTCAAAAGATGCTTTTCCATATAGTAGATTGTAAATTTACAAACCTGAAAGTTAAGAAAAATAAGGAATTTCTTAGCTAAATGCTAACACTTATATACAATTGCAACATTTTGACTGGCTAGATAACAAAAGGGGTGTGTGCTACCAAGACACAATTTAGCACAATACTGGTGTATTATCATACTATGCATCCAAAAGAAAAGAAATGCATACGAGCAAATTATGCCAAGACACATAATTCACAAGCGTTAAAAAAGTGTATTCTATGTAGTATGAATGTGTGTAGCATGTACTTTTCCCATCAACCAGTCAAGTACATACTTTGTAGGAAAGTTTAGAAGTAGCATACATTCAGATATCAAATTACACATTTTA